CTCCCAAGACAAACATTAAGCATTCCTCGCCCCAGAGCACGCGGAGGGCTGTGAAGACACACGGTTTTAGGTGAAGAAAAATGTTCCCTAGTTGTCCTGGGTTTGCGTTAACTCTGTGCCAGAAGATCCACGAGGCAGATGTGGGGAGAACTCAAATGGGTGTCCCACATTAATACACGCTTCCGCTCCCTTCCCTGGGAGCACCCAGCGTCTCAGAGCGCAGCTGGGAACTGCCGCAGCGGGTGACCGTCACCTGCCGGGGCCATCACGGCGGACACCCCGTCACCGCGCTGGGGCGGGCACTCCAGGGCCAAGGGGGGGCCGAGCCGGGGGTTCAGGGCCCGTTCCCAGAGCTGCCGGCCCCTCGGCCCCGCGCAGAGCCGGGAGCTTGGCCCCCCCGGGCCTGGCTCCAGCAGCCTCCCGCGTTCTGGACCAGCGTAACCGTGAAGCTTCATCTGCTCCAGCATATGCGGAGGCTTGGCAGGGCACCAGCCTTTATTGAACTTTTGCTAAATGGTGCTGCGTGAAGCCCCTGCTGAAAACACAAATAAAGAAACAATTTTCTACCTCCTGTTGCCTTCCAGCAGAGTTTTCACACGATTTCTGCAAGTGTAAGAGAGGGGGAGGAAGGAGAAGGGGAAGGCTGCGGCAGCTCCCTAGAAGACACAAAGGCATTTACGTTGTAATTCCCACCCCTTTCTCTTCAATCCTCATTCCACAAGACCTCACTTTTCACAATATAATCCCGTAAAGCAGCTTATTTGCTTCTTGGACGTGCTAGAGCAGCTCCGAGCTGGGCGCCTCCCCCGGCTCCCCGCGGGCTCGGCGCTGCCTGGCACAGGGACCCCCGCCCGCCCTAGATCCGCTCTCGCAAGCGTAAAGCTGCGAAATCCGAGCCTGCAGGTATGTAAAACCTCAGGCTTTGATTTTTCCTTTCCAAATCAGGTGCTGCTCAACCGAGGCAGCTTCCTCCACCCCCAACCCTGCCCATCGTCCACCAAACGCTGTGAAACCACCCCTGGTATTTCCTGGGCCGGCGCTCTCAACCTGAGACTCTTTACTTGCCATATTTAACAGAAGCATTTTTATTGCTCTGCTTCAGAAACCACCGATTCAAACTCCACTTTCATTTTACTGGCTGATGGAGGCAAGAATTTACTTTTTAAGACATTGCAAGAATAATACTCTTAGAGCTAACACAAAAACAATCCTGCAGTAATACCGAACCCCCACGGCTTCCAAAGCTTCCCACTTCTCCTGGCTCGCTTTCGTTGCTTGTTTATTCAAAAAACTCCACCACACAACTAGCCCGAGGAAACCTGGTGGGCCCCAACCTTCCAAACCACAGCGAAGTTCACAGAGAAAAAGGCAGCAGATGCCTGCGGCACTTCCCTGAAATCAATCCCTGGCAAGCGCGTGCCCCGGCCGCGCTCCAGCGGCCCGTCACAGCCTCTGCGGTGACATTTCATTCAAATGTTTTACAAGGTCATTTCTTTTTTTTCAGATAGCGTGAGGTGCATTCCATACTTTTTCTGTCTAATCCTGAAGATAAATCTACTTGAAGTTGAGGACTGACCAGGGAAAGTATCAGCGCTTGGCTCAAGTAAATAGATACCTGGGCTAAGCCGGCAGTACCCTCGGCCTGGGGAGAGGCCGGCGCCAGGCAGCACAGCCGCCCTCTCCCCCGCAGGGAGCCTGGGCCAGCCCAGCCCTCATCACCATCACCATCATCACCATCACCAGCGGGATGGAGCCCTCCGGGGGCATAAGCCAAGCCCAGGTGAGCGTGTGAGCGAGGGGCACACACTGAAGCCCGTAACTGCACGGAAAGCTGCGTCACAGTTAAATACTCTTGGAGGAATTTGTTTCAGTTCTTAAAAAACAACAAAACCGAAAAAGCCCAACTGATTCCCGAAGGCAAGCAAGGACATGCAGTGCCAGCCACGTTTCAGGCCTCTGAAGCCCTCGCTCCGGCTCCCGCGGGCACCCAGCGCCCCCCAGCTGGGCAGAGCAGGGCTAAATAGAGTCTCTAATGGAAGATTTATAAATTGGGATAAAAACGTAAGCAGCTTTACAGATACTCGCCCAGGGGCAGGAAACGATCACTCAGCTGGCCCAGAGAGGCCCCCGCAGAGCAGTAACCGGCGAGAAGAGCCCTGAGCCCCCCCGAGAGGGCACAGACCCCGCTGCCACCGCGGCTCCCACAGCAAAGCCACTTCCCCCCTGGCTCCCAGGTCTGCCTTCTGTTTGCTTCTTCCCATTTTTGTAGGAGCAATTACTTACATGTCCCCCACACAGCCAAAATTAACCTGGGGACTAAGCAGCGTCTTCCGAACCCCGCGCCCCTCAAGCCAGCGGGTGCTGCAGGGGAGAGATTTTATTTCTGCTCGTGCAGCAGGAAGGTGACACCGACCTGGCCGACGAGCAGCCGCGGCCCCCGACTGCGAGGGCAAAAATCCCCAAAGAAAACCCAGATGTGCCAGAGCAACGCCTGCACTGTGGAAGAAAAGTAAAGCCACCACTATTCAACGACACCCTCTTTATTCAAAAATAGATATCTATGAGACATTTCAGAATATACTGCTGTCACAAATGGCAGCCTATATGTCTAAATTAATTCCTAAATCAATTCATATACAGATTTAAGCTTTTGTTAAAAAAAGACACACCTTGGGGAAATCTGTTTAACCTTGAGAGAATGTCACCCAGTTCACCAGATGCCCTTTGCCCAAAAGAGTGAAACAAATAAAATTAAAAACCACAAGACTTCATTTAAATTAAGCAAAATAAACCACACACATATATTTGAAAAAAAAAAATCAAAACATTTCAATTAAAAAAAAAACCCAAAAAAACAACAAAACAAAACATACCACTCTCTCACAGAAGATTTGCCCAAAACAACAGCGCAAGATGTCAACACATTTGTCTACATAATTTTTTCTATGACAGCTTTTTTGTTCTAGAATGGATAAACATTCAATCAATGGTCGAAACAATTATTGGTTGAAACAGCCTCTGGGTAATTCCATGAGCTGGGACAGGATAGAAATGAGTCTTTTGGTTTGGGTTTGCGAGGTTCGGTGGGGTTTTTGTTTTTCATTTTTGGCAAAAGCAGAGAGAATATACAGTGTTTTATCTAAATGACGTTTGGACCATAAAAGGCTGTACGATCAAACCAATTCACGGAAAGCAGCGTTCTGCCACTGGAAAACTTCCTGTAAACTAAAGAGAAAAAACACATTTCTTGGCTGGGCAGTAAGGGTGTTTTAAAAAAAGGACAAAATGAAGTGCCAGTAAGAAACAGACGTGAGCTTCTTAACAACCTAATGACCAAAAAAAATGCTGTATTATTTGTTTTAACTGAATGCTGAATAGCCTACTGAATACCCTGTAAAATAAATTACCGAGGACGCAGAGCAAGCGTTGCATTTCTGTAGGTTTCCTCTCATGTCTTTGACAACAGCAGCTTAAGACTACAGGGAGGCACAAACACAGCACATCAACTAACGGCAGCCTCTGTGTTACAAAACCTGCATTATCGGATCAAGTGTTTCCAGAAACGTTTTATAGTGAGAGGTGCTAAATTTAAACAGAATCGTTACCCAAATTGGAATGGTTTTCAGTGATCAGAGTCCAGCTTGTCAGAGCCTACACAAAACTGCAATGTAACTACATCCACGGCAGCCGAGACGTTAGCTAACAACCTAATGGAATTAAGAGTACTGTAAATTGGCCTTTTTTTTTTTTAAAAAACTTCTTCCAATTATAAAAATCGACTCACAATAGTCTGTGACATAAAATTAAGTACATCCTTCTATGATCTACATGCATGGACATGGTACATATGCATACAGGATATGTGCATATAAATGGGTCTATTTTCTATATAAATAAATATTTATACCACATTTAACTTCTGTGCATCAAATAACTTCACTAAAGCTATGGAGAGAATTCATAGAACAGTATTTGCAGTGTAACCATCCTGAGCGTAGATCTGACAGTGCCTGTCACAGGGATCTCAGCAGTTGCAATGCACCACTCCAACCCTCAGCCTCTGTGGCCATCCGATTTTGTATAATGAAGAGGAAAAATGTGGTATAAATCTAAGGTAGCTAGAACAAAATTTACTTCCACTCTCATTTAGGTAATATCCAGTTCTGCATTGCTCAGCAGAGTGTAAATTATGAAGCGCGCTCTAATTCACAAAGAAAAGCTGCTTATTTTTATTGCCTGTGGTGAGTTTCAATTTATGTACATGCCAAATGGGACCTCTCTCCGTGTCAGTCCCCAGCAGCACGAGAACTGTGGATGGAAGAAAGGCATTTCTCTGTACCGCTGCTCAGGAGATGCCGCCTCCTCACGCTGCCGTGGCGCAGCACCTGCACTCGCAGGTCCCTGCGACGCCCACCAGCCCCTACTGCTCTCAGAGATGAGGTCCAGAAACCCAGCTACAACGGACCAGACTCATTCAGAAATAATACAATACTTTTACAGAGGAAAAACGTTGTGTGGTCAAACTTCCTTTGAAAACATTCCAGGTGTGTATGTACATGATTCTCATGACTTTTGTGGGGGTAACAAGTGCTAAGAGCAAACAGCAACTAAAGAGTATGGAAAAAGTATGAGAAAAGTTTGCCTATATGGACTACCCCCACTCCCTTCAGAGCTCACAAAAACTCGCTCCTCTTCCTCCCCTCACCATGAGCCAGTGTACGCAGAGAGAGGGTGAGCACGAGCAGCCAAGAGGTTGAAAGCAGGGTCTGCGAGTTCCTTCCTACCGCAGATCGTGGAAGACTGGCTTTCCAGTCAACACCAGTCTTCTCCCTTCTGCTGGTAATCACGGAAACGGGGGGACACCACTGGTTCTAGTCTGTTGAGAAGAGGTCACCAGCAGACGGCAGAGGCGCCAGCCCTCCCGTGACGTTGGGCAGCAGGGACAGGTCCGGCAGGCTCTGGATGTGGGACTTCAGCTCCTTGCGGACCTGGGTTACCCGAGCGAGCTTCTGTTTGTACTCCTAGGGGAGAGACAGGAGAACGGAGACTAAGCAGAGTTAACCAGCAGTGCAGGTTAACCAGCAGCGCTCTCAGCGAAGCCCGGAGCGTTTCCCAGGTGCTGGCTCTCCGGTGAGGACACCCCCACTCACCCGCACCCCAATTCCCAGCCCATCCCCAGGCCTTGGCATCCCCAAACCACTGACCCTGCCCGGGGTCACTTCCACAGACACTGGGCAAAGTGCCCCCAGAGCTGCCCCCCCGGGCCTGGCAGAGTCTTTGAGAAATGTCCCCAGGCAGCACGGGCAGGGCGCTGCCCCCCAGCCCCCCCCGGCAGAGCCACTCCAGGGCTGCTGCTACCCCCAGGCTGCTAAAACGCTCTTTGGGTTCTTGTCTGAGGGGGTTATTTTGGTTTTTTCCAAACTTGATCAGTTTTGAATATCCGGATAATCCAATTTTCCCTTTCAAGTCGCTAAATCAAACCCAAGTTCTGGTTGTGAGATGGGCCCTCCCCTGGGAGCTGCGGGACAGCTCACGTCAGCAGCCCCAGCTGTGCCACGAGCCCGCCGCGTTCACAACCACCACGGAAACGTGTGGGAGCACGAGGTGGCAACTGGAGAAAGACACTTCCCCACTGGAGAGAAACCAAGCCAAGTACAGACACATTTCCAGAATTTTATTACAAAGGGAAAAAAACAGTAAGTTAAACACCCGTGAAGAGGAAACTCGCAAGTAGTTTTTCCACAAGTGAGGTCCAGATTTGAGCATTAAAAGCCCAGTAAGAAACATCTATCCACCTTCAGAGACCTCCACAGTCTAAGAGACAGCAGATAACAGTGACTAGTGTTTCATAACGGGCAGACAGAGGGAGAGTCTGGACCCTGAAAATGAAAGGAAGAATCACACCTTATTAAATTATGTTTAGAGGCCACTTGAGAGCAGACAACACAGATCCAAGTTATCTAATACAGAAACTCAATTAAAGAATGACGTTTCTGTAATTTTCAAAGCTTTGTGATTCTAAATGGTTATGTAACAGTCATAGAAGACAGCTATTTAAGTAATAAAACCCAGTATCACATCATTTCTTTGGAATGCACCAGTCTTTATCCAGCTACGCATGGCATATTTTTCATGGAATCTCCAGAATGGAGGAAAACAGAAAGAAAGAAAAGTAAGAAAAGCCATACACAGAAGAGTCTTTCATACACTCAGTTGTAATATTAACTTACTTGGCCAATAGAACAGTTTACCCGAAAACAGAAATTTATCTTTGAAGATCAAATAAAACTAGACACACGTTTAATCTAAACATCTTTCTGAAGAGTTTACAACTTTAATCCAGTCTTTCTAACCTTCTCCACAACGAAAATTCTCTTCACCTTCTCCAAATACCAAAGCGCAGCAGCTCCTGCGGGTTTACAAGCAATGAGTTTACACTCTGCGTTTCATTACTCTGAATTAGAATGGCGAGAGCAGCAGTCAACTGCAACAACTCAGAGCCCCTACGCCCGGAACGGCTATGTAAATATATTCCATAAATTTCCTGCCAGCACCAAATAAGAATGTCCTTTAACAGCCTATTTCAAACTTAAATCCTTTTATGAGGCTCGGTGAGTTAACGTGCCACCATAACCAAACACTCCTGATAACGTACACAGGATATAGACGGAAATAATCAAGTTCAAACAAAGCTCAACCAGCTTCATAAACCAAAGTGTACTGTTCTCAAGGCCAGAGGAGAACAACAACAAAAAACCTCAGGAGAAGGCGCCCCCATTAATTTAGCATTGTGAGGATTTGTTTTGTTTTAATAGAAGACAAAGAGTCAGGATCATCCCTAGTCATACCACGTCGGGAAATACTTAAATAGGGAAGCAAGTCAAGAAAGTCACGTTATGAAGACAGAGAACAAAACCAGGAAAACACCACAGATTTTTAAGCAGGGATACAGAACAAAAGCAGGTAAAGAAAGCCATGGCAGTGCCACATCCTGACTGGGGAGGTGGCACACGGGGAGCTCTGCTCAAGGCTGACACGTCACGGGTAACATGAGGCAGGGAGACAGCAGAACACCAGCTCCTGCGTGTAGATACAGGCAGCAAAAATATTTATTGTATTATTGTATTCCAAACGCTCACACATAGAAGGTGGAAGAGGCTGGACTCAGACTGATTTCTGATGCCCCCAGAAGACTGTCTTAAAAAAAAATAATTTTAAAAATCATCATTCAGGACAGTGCCCAGGAGCGATGGATATCAAGTCAGGAAAGAAAGGGCAGTGCTTTCTCCAGAATGCCAAGCTCTGTCAAGAGTGAATATTGTTTTTTTTGTTCTCTAATGAATTTTACTAAAGATAGGAAAGAAATCAAGAAGGGCAAGGTAGTTGGCAAGTCCTCCAAGTCTGATAAATGGGTAGAAGGTGCAAATTCCAAGCATAAGCCAAGAAAATACCTCAAATACTACCTGAATTGCCAAGATCCACACACAAGAATTCTGTGAAAACGGGTACAACACAACGTCTGCCTTACGAGAAGACTGAGGACCTGCCACCACCAGGGCAAAGCTGACACGAGGACCAGGACACGCGACTTCTAGGGGGCACTTGGGATGAGGACACAATGGTTTATCAGCTGAAGACTATTTGCCTATCACAACTGTATTAGACCCAAACAATATCTGCTTCCTGATATTTAGGGGACTGAGAATCTTTGCAGAGCCTTGCTTGATAGCCCAGCTCTGAGAACAACAAACGAAGAACCGCTAAGATGTATGCAAACAGTATTTCTGTCCTGGTTTTTATGCTGTGGCAAATATACAGACAGGAGGAATTCCTCCACACATTAACAGCAACAACCTGTTCCCAGATCCCCAGTTAAGAGCTTCAAACTTTTAGGAAAATATTGCTCTTAACACAGCACCAGTTTCAGGGGTACTCTATACTGAGAGCCTCATGGAGAATTCTAAGTAATTCCACCTTACTAGTAGGTTAATGCAGGCATCAACTAGTCCACACAAGTTTTTGTTAAAGCAGTGAGGCCAAAGTCCTGTCTGTTAGGGGAAAAAAAAAAAAAAGGAGGAAAAAAGTACTCACAAGGAAATGACGGCAATAGCCCCAAAACCACTGACAGTCTCCAGGCTCGGGGGCTTTTCTTTTTCCACAAACCGAGTTGTGGCCGTATTCTGCAACGCAGGACTCTGGGAGCAGGTTTCATGGGAAACCATGTTTTTCGTGTAGCCCCTGACATGCTTTGAAACCGCATCTTGCACATTTTTGCATAAGGTCCCTCCATGCTATAAAACTGAAAAAATATGAAGTGCACTTGAAAGAAACCGCTGCTGTCTGAGGTCTTAGTTTGTACTTCATGTGTCTAGCTAATTGCCTCGCTGCATAGTGGGCTTTCATTAAGATTAATAGTATTTGGATGCTATTTGCTTTTTTTAGGCAAAATAATGAGATCTTTGCTGTAAGCAGGAGTTTCGGGATGATACAGAAAAAACTGGCGCTGTGCCACAGGAATGCTTTTGCTAATCACCATCCCCCTTCAGTATGCGGCATTCTACGTCCACAGTGGCCAAGTGAATTGGATACTCAGCCCTGAAAGAAATGCAAAATCAGAATTAACCACCACTGAACGAACCTGACAGAAGTGTTTCATTCAAAAGCAGCCTTGCTTGGACATTATAAACCCGACTGTAATCGGCGTGACAGGACATTCATTCTGAGGACTGTGCACAGCTTGCTTCACCTTGTCGAGCTCTGCAGCACGGACTTTGTTTTATTTCAGCTTAGAATTTGCCCTGGACACTTCCATTCCTGTGCTGGGTCAAGCAGTAACATGCTGTAAGTCATCACAGCAGTTGCATCTACTGAAAAACATCTAGCTAGGCATTAATGAGAATTTGGAAAGTGAATAGGAAGAGCAGGCAGTCAGCCCTGGTTCTGGTATGCAAGAGCGTCAGGCAGAGCTACGACAGCAAAACGCCACAGAAGTCAGGGCAAGATGCACCAAGGCTCAGCAGAAATTTGCAAACAGTACATAGTGAAGCGAGAGTTTGACGGTAATATGTTTATACGGTTGTGTAAAATCTCTATTTAAAAACGTTCAATATACAACACTAGTACAGCAGGTCGATCAGGTTTTCCTTTGCTTTTGCCACCTGCCACTTAACCTAGGCAGAGCACTGTAAAACTTGCTCATTAAAACATGTTAGAATAAGCACGTTTATACGCTTGACAGTGTATCTGTAAGAAATGACCAACACGAGGGGCACTGGGAGAAAATTAACAAAAATAACAGCCTTTTGAAGCAAGGAGAATGAAGTTCCTGCTTGGCGAGTAAGTGAACAGCACGTGCGAGCCCTGACAAAACCCATCACACGTCACAACAGCAAGGGGTTGGTTTGCTGCTTTCGGGGTTTCCCCAGCCCAAGGTTGTTCTTTATTATCTAAGAAAGCATGAATTATTACTAATCAATACTTTCAGTGTACATACACCTAGAGGACAACCCACGTTGTCGGTTTTTAGCAGATATAATTTGCTAGATAACACTCCAGACAGCCTACCGCTGGCTCTGGGTTTCGTGCTCCAGAAGGAGCCGCAGAGCAGCTGCCGGCTCAGCTCACTCCGCCTCCCGCCCCGCCGCTCCTTCGGCCTCTTCAAAACCAGCTCAAAATTCCCCTTCTCCCACAGAAGCGTGCCACACTCACCAGCACTTTTCTCCTGCCTTCAAACCCACCTGCTTCCACATTCTCAAGTGTCACATCTGAATAAGCCCGGGTTTAGAACCGTACCCTACCCTGGATTTTATAAAGCACCCTCCCCACCCGGCGGGGCAGGCGCTGCTCCGTGTGCCAGGCAGAACTGCCAGCAGCTCAGCTGGTGGGGAACAGCTTTCTCACAGCAGTCAGAACCACCCAAACCTCACAGAAAGCAAATTGTAAAGAGTCTGTCTGCAACACAGACACGAATTTGCTTTGTAAAGAAAGCCCAGAGTCCTAGAAATAAAAGTAGTCTCGGTCA